AACTCTTTATTTAGGGCGAACTTGTGCCCGTAAACTCAAAGCTAAAGATGGTCAGCCAAGAATGCCTCTTGCTCGCTGACTCCAACTTCGTCGGTCTCTTCTCTGCCCCTCGAGTCTCGTGCCGGTCCCGTGGCGTAGCATCGTGGCGCGTGCAGGACGGCGTTCCATGGCGCGGCTTTCTTGCTACTTGCTTGGCGGCTTTTACGAACGCGAATTGTGGCAGCGTCTTCTGCGATGTTCGAGCTGTGGCAATACGCATAGAAACGACCGAGAATTTTCTTGTTTATTCCTCGTGGAAACGGGAACGGACGACTCGAAATACGCGCGTTATTGCAGCAAACATGTCTTAAATTTATGTTTGCAGATTTTCTACACAACGCTGGTTGCAACAGGTGCATGTCATCTCAGCACAGCGCGGCACTCGACAGGTGAGATCGCATTGTTTTTTTTTTTTCGCGCGTACGTGCTGCACGCTTTTGCAGTCACTCGATGTGGTGTGTGACTTTGCAGACATTTGTGATTTACTTGGTGACGCTTCTGCGTCTGTGCTGGAAAGTGACAAAGATAAGCAACTTGTGCCGAGCTAGCTATTACAGCGTGTAAATATATATACAGTTACGGATACGCAGTGCCCCTTCGCACCGTATGTATACCACCATGGCTGTGCGTCATAATTAAGATCAAATATTATCCACTACGAACTATTGACGGCAGCGGTTTTCACGTATACACTGTCACTGCTGCGTTTATCATTCTTTTCTCAGGGGGTTATATACTTTAGTATTGTAAACAATACTTGTGCCGTACGTTTCGTAATACATGCAGTGTATAAATATTGCACATTCGCGGTGACATTTGAATAGAACGCACTAGTTATGATTCAAGTGCTTTAGTGGCAGCTGATTATTATCATGAATTGAGGCGACGACTATTTCATTTATCGACATTTTCTCGTCGTATGAGACACCCTAACCTTCCTGCCTTTCCACCGTCTCCTGTTTCCTTCCTCCATTCACTGTGAATGAATAGAACAAATGTTTGCTCCATAATATAGCTAAGATACTAACGAGGCATTTCTTTAGAACGCCAAGTCATCTGTATTTCCGAGTAAAATGTTGGAGTCGATGCCATGAAGGGTATATACTTCATAATGTCAATGCAGTATTTCTGTTATTTTTGTCAGTGCATTACATGAACCCCCCCCCCCCCCCCCCCCTATATCTCTTCACTTTTGAAACTCCGAATGCCTATTAGAAGTTCCAGACAGGCTTTCCATTCGGAAACGACGACATACTTCTAGCGATGCGAATAACTTTAAATTGCTATATTTTTTTATTGTGGTACTAAATCTGTACTTTTTATGTTCTACTCAAAGCTTCACTCGTCGTAATTATTACTGCAGATGTCGTTTTTTTTCATTTTCGACTAAAATACCTCTTCTTTATTTTTCTTTCTGAATGAAATAGCTCAAAAACCACTTAGTTCTAAGATCAATGTAGACGCAATTGTTGTACCGCTTTCTTTTGAGCGCACATAAATTATTACATGGTAACGAAGTTCCCCTTTCCTGCTGTCCCGGCACTCCTATCTGAACAGGGATTCCGCTTGCGTATATATACAAGCACACAAAGAAACGCACGCACCAACATAAACAAAGTAGGATTGACTCCCCCCCCCCCCCTTCTTTCGCAGAAAACTTTTGGCTACTCCCCTGTTTCGGAATAAGACTGCGATCACAAAGCCACAGAAGATGCCTTAGGGGCCTCAGGACTCCGAGGGGCGGAAACACCCTCTTTTATCTGTCACCTATCTCTATCTCTCACCTCTCGCCACTCTCGCCTATCTATCTATCTATCTATCTATCTATCTATCTATCTATCTATCTATCTATCTATCTATCTATCTATCTATCTATCTATCTATCTATCTATCTATCTATCTATCTATCTATCTATCTATCTATCTATCTATCTATCTATCTATCTATCTATCTATCTATCTATCTATCTATCTATCTATCTATCTATCTATCTATCTATCTATCTATCCTATCCCTTGGACTCCTTCTTCCTAAACACACACACACACACACACACACACACACACACACACACACACACACACACACACACACACACACACACACACACACACACACACACACACACACACACACGCGCGCACACACGCGCGCACACACGCGCACGCACGCACGCACACATGCGCGCCCTATTTCCATTACTGCTAATGCATAAGACATCGTCCTGTGTGCTACGTTGAATTCACCTGTGCGTTCAGGAATGTTTTCTGGTGGACCACTCTCTTAATAATCAGTTTAGGCTCCTACAGTAGTTTAAAACAGTGTAGTTGGGGTGACCACATCTTGTACGTGAAATTTTTGCACTCGCGTCATTTGTTCTATGCTGAAGCTGCTGATCCTTAGCCATGTCCCCCCCCCCCCCTCACTATCTCTCTCTTTCAAATTTCTTGTTTACTTAATTCTTTGCAGTCAGTTTTATGCTGATCGTCTTGCTGTTCATTCTCTCCGGTTTTTGCATCGTTTTCTCCGTTGTTCTACTCCTGGGCCTCTTTTTCGTAAGTTGACTTCTTTGATTGCAGCAAACTTTTTATCCTAATGTCAGAACCTATGTCGTAGAGAGCACACAAGTGATCGAACACTATCTTTGATTTGCGCTTGCTTCATTAACGCACTAAGATGATCGCACGTCATTCACTATCGCAAAGACTTTTTAGTGACGATAACAAAAAGTTGACCTATTTGGTTAGTAGAATGGCCGAAGTTGCGTTAACACTGCCGAAGTAACCTTACGACACCTAGCTTAGCAGGACAGAGCAATATATAAGCAATTTTATTACATACGGTGGCCGATTTATGTGGTTCTATGGCAGCCGTCGTAATGAAATGATTCTTAGTCAATCACGCCAGGTGTGTTTCTTTAACGACGACTTAAGTTTAGTGCAGTTCTTGCCTTTCGTTCCCATCAAAAATTCAACCGTCATTATTCGCACCTGTGACCTTATCAATGCTGGTGGCCATGTTCTGTTAACTTTTGGTGTGAAGACATCGGTACAAGAATCGTTTGGGCATTGAGATTCCTTCTTTCTTTTTCTTTTTTTCTTCCTTTCTTTCTTTTTTTTTCTTTCTTTCTTTCTTTCTTTCTTTTTTGTGTGTGGAATCCCCATGCGGAAAAAAGAAAAAAGAATGTTGAAAAATTTGCTTCGGAATTGGTGACATTCATCGCACTCAGTTCTCTAAAACGCGCACACACTCCGTAAACAATTATCGCAAACTACAACCGCGAAAACCTTTATTTTTGTGGGAGCACATTGATTGTACATATATCCCTTCGCACCCCCCTTCCCCCATCTCCTCTTCTCAGTCACATTCGCTATAGTAAACATGACGAGTCCCACATCTTCGTCTGTCGCAGGACCATCGCCTGCTGTTGCTTCCGTGGCTTGCCTTCGTGTCCACGACGACAGTGCTTGACGTGGCTCTTTCGTTCTATTTCATCTCGGAACTGGTGAGCACTGGTCTCGTACGGGCCCTTCACTTTCTGGTCGCGATCTGCGCAGCTGGCAGCCGATAGGACGGTGGCGACCCTTATGGTTCGTTCATACTAAAGGGAAGCAATGAATTGGTTAGGATCAATAAATTGTACTCTGAGAACACTAATATTGTTAATTTATCCTACATAGGTGGTGTATCAGTAGTGAATAAGATTAAAGTCACATCTTTCAATTTCGCACCGAAGTCTATGCGTGACGTGACGTGACGTGACGGTATGGATTTCAATATGCATTTTTCTTATTCTGGCGAGATCGAGTCTACGAAGTTTCGATAAACTTGATGGGTTAAATCTGTGGCTCCCGCAAAGTACAATATACCTTATTTTCACTGATTAAGAGCTACGTATATCACCTAGCGCAGGCCGTAAAAATCTATGATGTCACAACGTTTGGCGCGAGCATTTCAAGATGACATCGCCGCCTGCATTTTCTTTTTAAGCGTTTTCGCGCTTACCAAACGTCTTCTTGTTGCAATCGTTATTGTTTTGGACTTATGAAAGAATAATTTACTAATACGAGAAAAATCATGTTTTTTTTAACGGGATGCAGCATTCTGTTGGGCATGATTACTTGCACAAAACACTCACTTCTAACAGATGTTAAATGTCTCTCGATTTTTATAACAGTCTTGTCCTTCTTGTTCCTACATGTTCTTGTTAAGTTGTACTTCACAGCCCTAGCACGACCCTTTCAATTAGCCTTTAATTAAACTCATTTTTTTTGTTATTTTACAGAAAATCGACGCCTTTGTAATCACCATGTACATTGTCGACTACACCCTGTGCTCAACAAACGTAAGTATTCATCTCGGTCTCGCTGTGTAATCAAGCGTGCACCATATTTTACAACGGAAATATAAAGCTGCCAGAGAGCATGCCAGCAGTTTTCTTTTTTTTTTTTTGCATAACCCTATACCTGGTGTTGTGAGATCAAGAAGGGTCTGACAATTTTTCATTTATCCGTCAATGTGTAATGGTACGGAGACAATTTTCTCCTACGGCTTCGTAATGATGTCGTGGTTTAGGCACGTAAAAAACGTATAACCTAATGAAAAACATTTGAAGCATACATATTCCAGTAACGTAGTTACTTCAACTCCGTTTTGTTTTATCGAATTGGATTGGAATAAGCTCTATTCCTTTTTTTTTCTACAATGTGAGCGGGCATTTAATCTGCTTCGAAGCATGCGCCTGATGTCGCAAATGCAAGCGTTACTAATGCATAATTAACTGAGTAATTTTTATCTCTTGTATAGTTATCTTGGTATGAGAGACAACTCGCAAGAAAAATGGATTAGGTAACGATCTCCTTCTGTTGCATTATTGCGGCAGCTGGGGTTGAATCGTGAGCGTTCATTCCTGCAAGTCTATTCTTCGGGATACACTTACAGATTGTGTGATGAAACTCTTTCTTGGTACACTCTTTTAAAAATGCGGTAGTAGTGTCAGCTGTGTGAAGAAGAAGATGTGCCCGCCGCGAGCAGCATCGCCAACGCCCGGCTCTCTCGGCTCGTGCTTCGGTTCGTTGCTGTGCCGATCGCTGGACGGTTGTTCACGCTGTCTCGTCGCTGTCTTTAACGGCTAATAAACCTCCTCACAGCTGTCAGAGATTAGTCTTTTTTTATTCAGGCTCCCGAGTAGTTTGTCGCTGACTATCGAGCTCTTAACGGTATGCAATTTTGTTCAAAACTTGAGGTGACACGTTGCAAGCGTCTCACGCTGATTTTTTTTTTTTTTTTACGACAATATCGTATTTCAATGCCCGTAAACAGTAGTCGCATCTTTTTCGTGTTAGACTAACATTCTCCATGGAATGTTGTGTAGGCAGAAACAAATTTCTTTGGAAACCCAATTTCCGGCACGTCTTCAAGCTACAACCATCTTTCCGCGGAGGCTCCGTTAGAATTTATAATCATTTCTTTTTGTTTTGGCACTTCAGGTTAACACCAAGGAAAAGATATCATCAGTGTAATTCTTGTCTACGTGTTTGCTCTTGTGCTTACGCATAAGTATGAGCAAAAGAAGGATTGAAATGCATGTCACGAACAAAAAAAAAACAATTCTTGGTAGAACTTAGGGGCCTCTTTCGTTTTTATTTTTCCTGCATTCGTTGTTGGCGATGTACGAACTGTGTAATGCATAGTGTGGTATGGAATTCCCCGCAGCCGTGATTCAAATTTATACCCCCGCCGGTGAATGATATCCGATGACGTAGGCGATGCGTGGGTTTATACTATATACACACACGAAGAAGCATCTCGCGTTAATTTGAGTGACCTCACACAAAGGTGACGTTTTTCATCCGGGTCATTCCGCCCTGCTGCCATGTCTTTTTCATTAGCTGCGAAACCCTTCAGAGAAAGCATGGTGCGGTCTTGCCCGGACAGAAAAGGTTCACGTGTGCAATAAAGCGGCCGTGGAGCCATAAACACACGCTTCCCTTTTTCCGTTTCTTGTTTTTTTTAGGCCTATACTTAACGGGCTCAGCCTCGAGACATTTTTCCCGGTGGTGCTGTAAGCGGGGCAAGTGAATGCTCAGTTCTAACGCGAGGAGCGTATATACGGCCAAATGACCACGTTTTCTTGCATAGTCGTGGTCCGGACTCTGCGTGGTGGCAGCTGGAGCCGAAAGTAGGCCCTGAGGCCAGCTTCGAATAAAAGACGCTTATATTGCCCAGACTACAACAACGCGTCGTCGCCAACAACCCGTGCATGAACTGAGCTTAGGACTCGTTGCTATCGCGTGTGGCCTGCGTCATGTTTGTGCCACTACTTTAATATGAGTTTTTTTTTTTTTGCCCTCGAGCCCCATGTGGGAAGTAAGGGATGTAGGCCCGCGGTTTAGAATAAAATAAAAATTGAACACAAATAAATAGAAGAAAAGGAAATTTAATTGACGGCGTCTCAAACTGTGCTTCGAATGTCTTGCAGTCAGCTTCGCTCAAGTTCCAACTCAAGTTATTGCAAGTGTTTTCTTACAGTGTCTAGCCACTATTTAAGCTGTCTCAAGTATAACTCTATCGATAAACTAACTAACTAACTAACTAACTAACTAACTAACTAACTAACTAACTAACTAACTAACGAACTAACTGACTGACTGACTAACTAACTAACTAACTAACTGACTAACGAACTAACTAACTGACTGACTAATTAACTAACTAACAAACTAACTAACTAAACTAACTAACTAACTAATACTGTTCATGAGTAGACACCTATCATGTTTTGTGTGGCACGTTTGCCGTATGCTATTTAGTGTAGAAGTATCCGTGTATTTTTGCAGGTCTACTGCATATTGTGCGCGGTGTCCCAATACCAGCAGTACACACTTAGAGGCCGCTCCTCGGAGCAGAGAGGTCGGCGGGAGTCGGTGAGTTGTGTATGTTTTCGATGGTATTGCCCATCGACCAACAGCACTGTACACACTCGATGTGTGATCGAAGCTGTTGGCAGCTTTCAGGGGAAACGGCAGAAGCTTTAGCACTGCGCCATTTTGCACACTTCGATATTCGAGCACCTCATTGCGATGTTTCATGTCTGTACATAGGATGAAGTTGGTGTGGAGTAAAAGCCAGTCGAGAAATCGAGCGCGCAAACTTCCGGAGATTTATGATGGCGTGTCGTGTTATGTGCGGCGTGTGAAAAGCTTCAGCCACTGTGTACACCACGTACTGACTTGCCTGAACCGTATCTACTACACCGTGAACAGGAGGAGAGCGCTGATTGTGATTTTGTGAAAGTGAATTCTCAGGCGTTGTTGAAGACCCGCAGAACCACAGCATTGTGCGCAATATCAGCAAGCACTGCGGAATTTCTCGCGCTCACTGTCTTTGGAAAAGACTAGTGTACATTGTGCGTGATGCTTCTGATGTAAATTTTCGAGGAATGGGAGTTTTGTTATGCGCACAGACTCAGTAGGTCGCTGCGCCCGCGCATAAATTGTTGTGAATTCCTTGGGCTCAAAGCATTGCTGAAGTTGAACTTTTGAAACAGCAGAACGTCTGCAGCCGAAATAAAGGACGAAGAACGGGTAAGGCCACGTGCACTAGGTCTTATTATTGTGCGGTATGGCCGGAACGCATACAAATATTAGACTAATTATCATACTCTGTCCCTAATTAGCATTCTTCATAGTTGGGACGCACAGAAAGATGATGCCCATTCACGTACTTTGTCCCTAACTAATATGTTGTATGGCTGAGTCATTATTGGCTGAGTCCTCATTAAGCATCATTAAGCATCATTAGCTGAGTTCCTACTTGTAATATTTATGATGAACCGTTGAATATTAGTGACAGGTGTGTTTGAGGCATGCACTCACATTTTTATAGACTATGTTTTATTTTTAATTTTTGGGTCAGTGCAATTTATTCCTACATTTTTTTTCTGCCCCACAGAACTTCGCTACGCGGGCGCAACAAAATTTTGAGAGTTTCTTGTGTTTAAATTGGATTAAGCACAATGAAGTCGCGATATTCATGACTCGTCGTACACGGCGCAACATATTCGCAGCTGGCCATGGCGACGACACGGAACAGAGGCGACGGCGGAGGGGGCCGAAGCGGAGATCGGTCGGCTCTTGTCCGCATCGGATCGTGGTACATGCGGTGGCTGTCCCGCAAGACAGCTCTACCGCGCAGCGACGACACCGTATTGCCGTGCCCCGTCGTCGTACCAGCAGACACCACCTATTCAGCCGACGAAGGTGTGACGGCAACGCCAGCTGTTGTCGCAGGTATACTCCGGTTGCTGCCCGTTTACCTGTGACGCAAAGCCACACAAGTCACTAGGGAGTTTTAGAATGCCGTTTGCAAGCACTGCAGGCGTTGCGGGCGTTGCGGGCGTTGCAGGCATTGCGGACGTTGCGGGCGTAGCGGGCGCCATATGAGCTTTAGAATTGCGTTCGCCCTGCTGCTAACCGCAACGCACGATCGCAGCGACACCGTATCCTCGGAACCAGCGCTTGCGGGCCACATGCGGGCCGCGATCACCGCACGCAATTTCGGATTTTCTGCGTGCGGTCCGCGAACGCGAACGCCGGCCGACTCGCTTTACGACGCATGCGCCGTGGCAGCGACCGCACCGCAAGGGCTCGCGGTGCGCTATTCTTAAACTCCCTATTGCTCGCACCACGCAGGCGTGTTACCCCAAACGCAACTTTTCTCTCACAACCAGGGAAATACTCACGTGGTGCCTCATGCATTTTTGTTTTTTCTCAGTCGATTTTTACTGGTCCCCTCCTCCCCAACTGGATGCTTCCTGCTCCCAACGTGTTTGTGCACTGCCTCCGAGATTGGAGGCGTTGGCAGCTTTTCCCACCTTTCGCGTGGTCTTGAAATACCTCCGAGATCGGACCACCTTTGTCTCAACGACGCGATTGCGACGTAATGTGATGACGCTATGATGGCGCCACAACAATTAGTGTTCTAGAACGCCATGATGACGTCACATGGTGGCGTCATCATGTGATGATCATATTGTCGCGGTTCAACGTAAGCAGATCACCGAGACATTGAGTCCGAGAACGACGGCACATCATCTTCGTTCTCTGTCTATTTCGAGCGTGGCATTTGCCTCCCCTTAAAATAACATCGCCCCGATGCTGTAGCTGAGCCATTCATTCGCGCATAAAGTCGCTTTGTACAAGCGACGGTGCTTCGCAGAGTCACTCGCTGACGTATGGCTTAATGTGCAGTACGTGCACAAGTTGAGGTTGGTGCTGGCGACGCCTTGTACAGTTTCGGCTATGCGGGACGACTCGTTGGGTAACGTCACTTAGTCGTCGCAGCACTCGATGAGGTCCGGAGTATCTTCTGAGCAACTTTTCGGATATTTCACATCACTCTTACTGACTCTGACAGCCACTTTACGCGTTTGGCGATGCACCCAAAGCCTTCGCCTCGATAATATTTACAAAGATATCCAACGTGCGCGTTTCCAAAGCCTGAACAGTGCAGTATAGATGAACTTCCGCTAGCCGTCGTACGCGGTCGCCGTCACCGAAAACAGATCACGAGTCGGAGTGAGCGATGACCGTGACTGTGTATTCGTACTAGCGTATGTTCTGGCGTGATAGCCGCGTAATTTTGTGTCGCCGAATGCCCAGAAGTGGTTGCTATCATTATTTCGCATAAGTGATGTCGTGCGATTAAATCATCGCTTTCTTTTAGCCACAGGGTATAGAGGTAGACGTGTGCAAAATGCGCAACGAAAGCGCGTAGTTTAAAATATATCCGCAAGACGTAGTGAAATTGTCTCTATATGCGCTGCGTTTGCGCACTTTCCGCAAGACCTTTACGTGTGAAGAGTTAGTAAGCAGGCGAGACTCACTGCATTAAAAAAGGCGGATTAAATTAAGTCCGACTTGTTTTAAATATGTGACGCATCCGTAACGCCTCTTGCGAAAGCACTCAATGAAGTGATTTTAGACACGTGAATGTCATGCGTTGCTTTTATCAGGCTTGACCAAGTAAAGTCGCGCTTACAGTTTAAGGTGCATTTTATTGCGATAGCAATTATATGATCACTCTCGGCGGAATTTCGCCGCCGGCGTCAGCGTCGACGTTGGTGACCGCCGTCATTCACCGTATATGCATACGTATCTATATTGTGGGCGTTTGTTACTTACATTGTTCTCATCCCTGCAACATCATAATCACAATAATCCGCTTGTCCCTTTGTTCTCATGACCACTCTGTGTCATCATCATCGTGATCGTCTGTATACTGGCTCTGCCTGTTCGTTTTGCGAGGTCTTTCCTCAAATAAACGCTATCGCAACCAAGACTACCAAGACTTCATAATATATATTAAAACGCAAAAAAGAAAAATAATCCAGAAAAAACTCCGGCGCGTGGAATCGTACGTCCAACCTTTTGCTTGTGAGTGCGTTACGCACTTAGCCACGAAGAACGACCTCTTTGAACGTTGAAACGGCTGTTCATGAGCGCGCGTCGCCAGATCGTCACGACGCTGCGACGCGCGCTCATGCGTTCATATCCCACGTTTACTTTGCCCCGCGAAGAGATGGGGGAAGACGCTCAAGCGTGCGCGTTTACATCGTGGTGGGGAGAATGGTACGCCTTGGGCTTTCACCGGAACAATTCTGTTATAGTTACCGGGCGCACAAAGGTCACTGCACTCGCTGCACAGTCTCTGTTTCCAGACACAGCGAAGTAACAACTGATACACTTTTTCGCGTTCATCTGGACCTGTGAGTACGTTTCGTGCGTCATTTGTGCTTGAGCAACGCGGGGCACGTTTTCGATCTGCTTGTCATTCTTTGCGTGATATTTCAGGTTGTTGCTATCGCATTCATTGTTTCCTCCTTGTGGATATGTTGTGACTTTTTTTTAAAATATGGTTTTGAGAACTCCTATACGGTAGGCATCCGCTTATAAATATTTCTTCGTACCAGAATAAGTACGCTACTCTCAATAATTATGCTAAATCGCAAAACACGTTTTTATTCTCCGCAGTGGTTTTTGCAGAAGCACGTACTGCGTCAAATTCTTACGTCAGCAATCGATAGCTGTCATGCAAATCGCAGGGAATCTTTTCTCATGAAAGCGTGCTTCTGTAAAATTCAGCCCAGCTTCTATAATCGGCTTAGCGAACTAGTATCCGCTGGCTTCCCTCTGTCGGTATTTCCTGTCGTTTCTGAGACGCTGCAGCGGAAGCCGTCAAGGATTAAGCCGGAAGTTCTGCCGTATGTTCATAAGCTATCTTACTGCTGGAACAAAGTATGGGGCAGACACAAAAGAGGGCGCTGGTTTTTACATGGCACTAGAGTTACTGTATATGCTACATTTACGAAGTACCGTGTAAAAGCCAGGCCTCTCAGGTGCCGTGCAGAGTTACTGTATGGGTATAATATGCAGTAACTCTACACGGCACCTGAGAGCGGTGGTTTTTACGCGACGCTAAAGGTACTGTATATGCTAAAGGTACATGACACCTGAAAAAAGTGTAAAATGATTCTTCTCACGTGCATAAAAAATGCGCTTGTGTGAAGCAGCATGAAAGGGCTTTAATTAAGTACCACTGGGCAAATCAACTCTCGGTATCTCTACTAGGTGCTTTCTTTTTTTATTATTAGGTAGTGGAGTGGCATGACCTCGAAGCCCCCACGCGAGAGGCCTAAGGCCTAGTCTGCGAAAGCACTGCAGGATTATTAGTAATATTATGAAGTCTTGGTAGTCTTGGCTGCGACAGCGTTTAATTGCGGAAAGACCTCGCAAAACGAACGGGCAGAGCCAGTACACAGACGATGGCGATGATGATGACCCAGAGTGGCAATGAGGACAAAGAGACAAGCGGATGATGGTGATTGTGATCATGCAGGGATGAGGACGATGTAAGTAACAAATGCCCACACTCATTCCTCCCACTTGGAAGTGGACACCCTGGCCGCTGTAGTTCAAAGTGACGGGGAACGTCGCGTGAAAGGTTTCATGCGACAAACGTGGACAATCTCTGTGCGGGGGTAGCGGCGGTCTGTTGGGGCGACGAGTGGTGTCACACGATAATTAACCGGCGAAGTCTGTTCTAAAACAATGTATGGCCCGATGAAGCGTGGTTGGAATTTGTCACAGAGACCAGGAGTGCGAATAGATGTCAAAAGCAGCACCTCGTCTCCAGGTTGGAAAGACACAACGCGGTGGGATTCGTCATAGATGATCTTCCGCTCGTGCTGTCTCGCTTCAGTATTGATGCGAGCCTGATGGCGAGACTGGGCCAGGCGGGAAATGTATTCTTCGCTAGAAGACTGACATGAATTCTCATGGCGGCTAAAGAAGGAGACGTCGAGAAAGGTAGTCGGGGTGCGTCCGTACACGAGGTAAAACGGTGAGTAGCAAGTTGTTCGCTGAACTGCGGTGTTGTAAGCGAATGTCAGGAATGGTAAAAGAGTATCCCAGTTTTTGTGGTCGGATTGGACGTAAACGGCTATCATGTCTGCAAGGGTTCAGTGAAATCTTTCTGTTAGACCATTTGTCTGAGGGTGGTAGCTTGAAGCTGTCCTGTGAATAGTTCCAGAAGCGCGCAGTACTTCATTTACCATTTGTGACAGGAACACTTTGCCGCGATCACTAAGCAGTACACGAGGAGCCCCATGACACAGGATTATGGCGTGAAGAATAAAGTCTGCAACTTCCACAGCTGAGCCTGGAATAACAGACGAAGTCTCAGCGTAGCGTGTCAGGTGGTCAACGGCGGTCACTATCCATCGTTTGCCAGCGGATGTGACGGGGAGAGGCCAATAAAGGTCAACACCTACAACCTCGAAAGGCATTGAAGGGCACGGAAGTGGCTGTAGAGATCCAGCAGGTGCAGACGTGGGGAGTTTACGGCGCTGGCATGGGTAGCAGGAACCGACGTACCGAGCTACACTAGAAGAAAGGCCAGGCCAGTAATAACGACATCGAATGCGGTCAAGAGTTTTTTTTAAAACCAAGATGACCAGCAGTCAAGTCGTCGTGGAAGGCTTCGAGCACCTAAAGTCGCAGAGAGCGTGGCAGTACAGGAACCCAGCGGTGACCGTCAGGGTGGTAGACGTGGCGGTGGAGAACCCCATTGTCCAGCTTAAAGTGCTGGAGTTGACGACGGAGTCGCGCGTTTGGTGGATGAGAAACTCCCGAAAGGTGGTCCATCATGCGTCTGCAGTATGAATCGGACCGCTGGCGGGAGATAAATGTTGGCTCGTCGTCCGAAAAGGGTTGCGTTATTGATGCGAGCGTATGAACTTTGTAGATGTGGCGGTTGAGTTCTCACCAACGCTCATATGGGTAGTTGGAAGCGGGCAACGAGACAAAGCATCGGCGTCTTGATGTTTTATGCCGGACTTGTACGTTATGTCAAAGTCGTACTCCTACAAGCGTAGTATCCACCGGCCCAAGCGTCCGGACAAGTTCTTCAGTGTAGAAAGCCAGCATAAGGCATGGTGGTCCGTAACGATTGTGAAGTGACGGCCGTGGAGATAGGGACGGAACTTCTGGACCGACCAAACCACAGCCAAACACTCTTGCTCAGTTATAGTGTAGTTCTTTTCAGCAGGGGTGAGTACGCGACTGGCATATGCAACAACTTTCTCTAGGGAAGACTTGTCGCGTTGTAGAAGAACGGCTCCTATATGCCAAGGCCGCTAGCGTCGGTATGAAGGATAGTCGGTGCGGCTTCGTCAAAGTGGCAGAGCAGAGGTTCAGACGTGAGTGCCCGCTTCAACGGCTCGAATGCCGTTTGACATTCTTGAGACCACATAAAGGGGACGTTCGAAGCGAGTAGTTGGTGTAACGGAGCAGCAATAGAAGCGAAGTTCTGGATAAACCGGCGAAAATAGGAGGCGAGGCCAAGGAAACTGCGAAGCTCTTTTGGTGTTTCGGGACGCGGAAAGTGAAGGACTGCAGAAATATTGTCAGGGTCCGGCCGGATGCCATCTTTGCTAACGACATGTCCTAAGGCCTTGATAGATTTGCTAGAGAAAGCATTTCGTGTTTATTTGAAGCCCGGCGCCGGCAAGGCATCTCAGAACTTGATCCAGTCGTTCTAGGTGCTCAAGAAACGTTGACAAAAAGATAATAATGTCGTCCAGGTAGCAAAGGCAACTTTTCCATTTCAGGCCGCGCAGCACGGTATCTATCATGCGCTCAAAAGTCGCGGGTGCGTTGCAGAGCCCGAAAGGCATCACGTTGAATTCATATAGCCCGTCGGGGGTTGCAAACGCTGTTTTCTCCTTATCGTCTTCATGCATGGGGATCTGCCAGTACCCAGAACGCAAGTCGATGCTTGAAAAGAATTCCGCGCCTTGTAGGGAATCAAGGGCGTCGTCAATGCGTGGCATAGGGTACACGTCCTTGCGTGTGATCTTATTGAGCGCCCGGTAGTCCACGCAAAAACGCACAGAGCCATCCTTTTTGCGGACCAAAACAATAGGAGACGACCAAGGGCTAGATGAAGGACGGATGACTTCCCGTTTGAGGATGTCCGCAACGTTTTCTTCTATAATTTTTCTTTCAGCTAGGGACACGCGGTAGGGTCGGCGGTGTACGATAGATGTCCCAACAGTTTGAATTCGATGTGCTGTAGTATTAGTGCGGCCCAGCTTAGACGAGCAAAAATCGAAAGAATTTGCATGTTTCTGTAACAGTGCGAGCAGCTGCTGCCTCTGTGAATATGTCAATTCGCTGCTGATAGCGGTGGTAAAGGCGGAGGAAGAAACATGCTCACCGAAGGAAGGTTCTTTGGATGCGATGGCCTGAAGTGGCGTGACAAATACAGGCTTGCAGTCGGCAACACGGGCCATAGTAGTGCCCTGTGGCAGTAAGATCTCCGGTGTAGAGTTGACAGCGGTGACAAGTGCAGAGCCATTGCAAAAACGAACGACACCGGACGGAAGAACTATACCTTTACGAAGGCAAAGTGGTGACGGTGAGACCAATACATCACCGTGATGGATGTCATTAGACGTATTGCTGACAATTTGCTCTTGTAGTGGAGGCAGTTCGATGTCTTTCGCAGCGACCAGACGAAGTGGCTTGTGATTGTCGTCGTCAAGCATGTGGTCGGTGTCAGCGAGGTGAACGACACGTTGTCCACAACAAATCGCCGCGGAAGCGGATGATATAAAATCCCACCCTTAAATTAGTTGGTGAGAGCAGCGGGACAGGACAGCAAACTGGACATGATGGCGGATGCCGTCGATGAACACACGCACAGTACAAAACGCGGAAGGCCGAATGACGTTCCCCTGGGCAGCAACTAACGTGGGGCCATCGTAAGGCGTCATTACTTTCCTTAAATGTTCACACAAATCAGCACATATCACAGACAATGTCGCACCTGTGTCCACCAAAGCATCGACTCGCACTCCTTCCACTTCCACAGAAAGCGTGTTACACGGGCCTGATGGAGGAATTTCAGTTCTAATTCCGAATGCAGTTTTTCCTCCGCAAACTGCATCACTTAGTTTCCCGAATGAATATCAGATGAGAATGAAGCGGGCCGAAGTGGAGAAGTGGAACGGCGGAAGGGCGAAGGCGAGCGGCGTCTCGTGTTTCGGCTGTTTCGTGGTGCAGTCGATGCCGGAGGAGATGGAGACCAGTGCGGGGGAGACGAATTACGCCGACCTTGATAGGACGCCCCAGAGTACGAATCCTGTTCGCGCACGTCGTTCCGACGCTTATCTTGCTGGCGCTTTCGGCAGAAACGAGATATGTGGTCGCGATAGCCACAGTAGTAGCATACAGGGCGAGACGAGCGCCACTGTGGGGAATAGAAGGCATTCGGGGCACCTGAAGATATTGCGGTCAGGTGGGCTGGAGGGTCAAGGAGCACGGAATGGTAGTTTACCGGGGGAGCGGCAGCAACTGATGCGTAGGATGGACGCAGGAATGTCGCGTGGGCGTTGCTGGGAGGCACGGCAGGAACTTCAGGGTACGTGGGTATGGGGCGTGAAGCAGGTGGCTTTATGGGCGCAACGCCAGTCAGCGATGTAAGTTCCTCCCTGACGATGTCACGCAAGGACACTCCCGAAGACTGTGTAGGACGCGGTGTAGGAGGTGTGAAGCCCATAGACCGCAATTCTTCGCGTATAATGTCCCGAATGAGGTCACGCAGGTGGCCATGACACGTAGAGTGGTGGTCGTCAATGTCCGGTTGGAGGCGAACAGAGTCCAGCGTATCAAGGCGCTGGCGTGTCGTCACGACATCAGCGATGGTAGCTGGGTTTTGGACAGCAAGTGCATTAAAGGCAACAGGCCCAATGCCTTTGAATATGTGGCGCACTTTGTCCGATTCCGGCATGGATTGATTGACACGCCGGCACAGTGCGAGGACATCTTCGATGTATGAAGTGTACGATTCACCAGGATGGTGTCGGCGAGTATCAAGTGTCCTCTTCGCGACGGGGGATCGAATGTCCGGGGTCCCAAAAACGTGTCGCAGCTGCTGATGGAAGGTAGCCCAGTCGGGTAGGTCAATGACGTGGTTAAAATACCATGTCTTTGCGACTCCGGTCAGATAAAAAGGGACGTAGCACAGTTCGGCGGCCTCGTCCCACCGATTAGCGACACTTACGCGGTCGTAGTCGTCGAGCCAGTCTTCTACGTCTTCTCCACGAAGACCAGCGAAGAGCAGGGGTTCCCGCTGATGACCGTGTATGTAAATAGGAGGGGCAGCTTGCGTCTGTGCGTGGTTGATGACATCAGCTCCGGCAGGCTCGGTCTGGGACATGCTGCCTGACAGTGGGCGCAATCGGCGTCCTGAACGAAGCTCCAGCGGGTAGAGCGGGCTGCGGGAGGTAAGAGGACCGAAAATCCACCTCCACCACGTATAAAGTCTTGGTAGTCTTGGTTGCGACAGCGTTTAATTGAGGAAAGACCTCGCAAAACGAACGGGCAGAGCCAGTACACAGACGATGACGATGATGATGACCCAGAGTGGCAATGAGGACAAAGAGACAAGCGGATGATGGTGATTGTGATCATGCAGAGATGAGGACGATGTAAGTAACAAATGCCCACAATATTGTTACTAACCCATGCTATGCAGTTTAAAACATTTTGGTTGTTATTATCCTTTTTTTGTTGTTTTATGCGGCTTTGACAATGTTGACCGCACATGCGCCGTCTAGTTTGCAAATGAGGGCGTCCGCACAATGAATGAACAGTTGTTGGTGAACGCTTTGAGCATTTTGATGTTAGTGTGTACGGGCTGCTTGTCTATGCATATGTCTCTTCTTTCGGTTTCCTTTTTTTCATGAGCCTCTCTAGCTTTGGCTTCTGCGCATGCATAGTCTTTGTGTGGAGAAGCTAGCTTTCGTGCGAAGTTGGGAAAAGCTCGTTCTACCTTTTAGTTCTTACAGCGAAACCTAGTAAACGCATCTGCAAGTTACGAGAACAAGAATCAAATGTCGATGATGCAACGAATGCTTATTTGTTACATAAATACGTCTTCTTCTTTTGGGAGTTGAGGAGGGGGTAGACCATGTCTCAGAAGTACAGGTGGTCACCACGCAGGGAATTGCGCACTCTTGTTAAACAGGTGGGCGTCTTTACGAGCGTCACCTTAATTCTTGACGAGTAAGAAAAAAAAAAAAGAGGGCGCCCACCTTAGCGCAGATCACCTGCGATGACAGTCAAACCCTCTACTTTAACAAGGGTGGCAGTCTACGCAGTGCAAAAGAAAGACACTGAATGGGTGGACAGAGTATGACTTCTGAGTGACGAAATGTACGTAAACAAGCCAGGCTTACAACATAAACGTCGTTCCAACTGCTATGCTTCCTCTACTCCACTGTAGATTTTGCTCTAACGAAAGATGAATGAGTGCCAGCATACACCGTTTAACAAAGTTCATTGCTGGGCATGTTGATTCGTAAGTTTAAAAAATACCGGATCGCGCCGATTCGACGCAAAGCAGAAAAGGAACTCTGATGAGCAGGACAAGCGATTGTCCCACAACTCAGTGTTCTTTCTTTGTTCCGTGTCGATTTCAGGCTCTCCAGTGCTTAAAATACCCACTTTATTTTACCCTTCAGTAACTTTTGTGTTCGTATCCGAGGGGTATCCTTTAGCAGTAGCCTGAGGCATACAGTAGCCAGTGATAAATATTTTTTACGCTCCTCTAGCCATGTACGACGACAGTATTTATTGTGAAAGGCTTGCGTACATTTTTTTGTCTGCTTTGTTATTTAGGCGCAGTCCCTGCTTCAGTAACTCGAAATAAGAGATCACACCTCCAAATGCCTGAGTCTCCCTCGGACATTGGTCGATGTTCCGAAGAGTCATCCACAGGCCGGCAAGTCTGCACGGGAGAGACGTCCGTACAGCCCTGCGTCGTACAAAGTGGAGCACAACCTTCAGGTTGCGAAGCGGTGAGTTAAATGCTAGTAAAGGCTAACGACTCCTGTTGCGTAATGCGTAGGCAAGTTCGCTTTTTTTTCATTTCATTCACTAGTGTGCTCATATTCACCCATCATTTCTTCATGTTGAAGATGACGACAAAGCTATGGTTGTAGCATGTCGATGGTGGTAATGTTTTTGTTGATTGCTCTGTTCACTGCGGTATTGTGACTATCTCCACACACAGAACACTGTCATTGTGTCGCAGCACATGCGTATTGTTGGATAACGCCAATATGTGTTGACAGACAGAAAAAGACAAGTGCTGACATGTGCAAAGGTAAGAAATCTTGCCTTTGCAGCACATGTCGGCAAGACTCCCACGTGGTGGCGATTGCACAGTTCGTTCGCGTCACGTCTTTGTGTTATTTTTTTAAGCTTATTGTAATCAACCTTCCAGTTTTGAGTAAGCGTTCGTTGTGTTCACTTCTTCGTCCTGAAGTTTGCGCTGCTTTAGGTAATGGACGTCAGACTCTGGAGTTTCGCAGACACGTAGCGTCACCTGTCGGTGCAGTTTTGGGTAGTGCAAAGCCCGACTCTCTTGTACTGTTCGCTGCGCAACCAGGTGCAACTAGCGTGGGCGAAAGAACGATTGAGCTAAATATTAGTCGTATTTGCTCAGGGAATACTAATAAAAAAATGAGCTATGATTTTCTCTCCTCTTGTCGAATGCGTCACCGCACCGCCGTGAAGTGCTTGCTGGTTGACTCGCCAGAACGACGGCGAAAACAAGAGCAGACGCAACAGCTCCGCGCTGTACGAAGAAATACTTCAGTCGACGCTACTGTTGCGTTGTACATTGCCACGGGGGATTTCAGTTTCACCGATTTCCGCAGCTGTCGCGAAGCAGAAGGGCGAGAGCGCTGGATACGGGACGTTGCGAACCTGTTGGGTAAGCGAATCACTCACGTTCTCCACAGCCGGTCGCATGAGAAAGCGTGATATTGTAGGTCCCATGTTATTGTTTTAAGTAGCCTCGACGAAGAATCGTGGTAACTTTGTTTATGAATCTTAGCATAGCCTCTGACCGTGGTGCGCGTCGTGCAACAGCTGACGCGCGCAATAAACATGGCACACACCACCGATAATCTGAAGTGGTGGCCACCACAAAGCATTACGTACGTAAGCTTTGAACGATCTAAGTTTTGGCTTTAATTAGCAAATGCTGACATACAGGCAAATAACAAATTGTCGGTCGTGACCTCAGTCAGGTTTTACTTGTCTTTGGTCTCCGCGCGAGTGCCGGAGCTATCTCGGAGGCCTCGGTTTTGCCTAACGTTGCACACCGAGAAAGCCGACACATGTATATCCCCATTTGCAGTATATTCAAACGGAAGACGACCGTAAACAGAACATTCTAGGATGCGCAATAAAACAGTTCAACGCACAGGAAGTGAGAGATGGTGGAGAATGCAACTGCAAGGGCGCAAATCGCCGGGCCATCTGATAAAGCGAGCTTCGTGCCACTGATCGTACGGTACATTGCTCGCGTATGTACTTCATCCCTTTGTTACCACGTGAACGCCCAAATTCGACGAATTTAGGCGTTTCTGAACGCACGTCGGAGGCCTTAATTGCCTCGAACTTGATGTCATGCAATGCTCGCTTGCATTCAATTTGCGAGTCGCAGCATGCTTAAATAACTGAGACATATTTTGCATTTTACCCGCAGCTCGCTTTGATGAGATTCCACTTTTCTGAAGTGAGACTCAGATTGACGGCAGAAGCTTGCCTGTTCCTTGATTTTCAGGAAACCAAACCGCGCCTCAACACCAACGAAAGAGGGCATGCATGCGCGTTCGCTTGCGGACGGCTCTCTCTGCACTACCCAGTTATGGCCTGCGCGGCGATGAGGGCGCTGTTGGCGGCGTTTTTCACAGCACCGCCCGGGCAGAGTCTGACGTCTAATCATACCAATTAGCCCAGCTGTCGACCTTGGTACTATTTCGTAGCATCAACAAGTGTGTGAGGGTGCCATGGAGACCCACTCTGTGCGCAGTTTGATGACCCGAGCCTCGTACCGGAGCTCCAGAATAGAGGAATAACGCTCACCAAAGAAATGCGAGATCATGGCGGTGGTTTCGTACCTGAAAGCCAACCATTGCTAGATGCTCCCGGTTTTCTCGGGATCCACTATCAAAGGGGCACTCCTGTCGGTGACAGGTAACTATTCACTATTGTCCTCTTTTTGCATGCAGCTTGTACGTCGATTTTCATGTCACGGGCACATTTCACCATCGTCAACTGTTGTAAATCTGTTAAAACTTGCCAATTTTAATGTGACAGACTTTCACTGTGAGGCTACCGTGACAGCGTAGTTGTAACACTCTATAGGTTTAACTACGGGGTTAGCGTTCTTTATCACGTACCAGGTTGCGGAATGCGAGTGTTTTCGCGCTCCACAGCCACCAAAATTGCTGGTGAGGTCGTGATTGAGCTCGCGAACACGTGTTGTCTAGTGCGATGACATAGCCACTGTGCTACGGTGACGGGGTAGTCGACAATTTCGAAGTCGCGTCTCTCATATGGTGGTTTTGGGACGTTAAACCCCACATATCAAATCAACAATTTAGAAGTCACTGTTCACGTGGAATACAAGGCATCACGTGGCTTACAAGACATAGGCGAACTTAAGTCGTTAGACTTCAGGGGAAACGAAAACGGCTGCGAACGACGGGACTAAAGAAAGGGCGCAGCTTACAGCACTGTGGTCTGTGTCCTTTCTCTCGCTCTGTCGACTAGTAGGGCTTATTCTACGAAGAACATTAACCAAGATGTCCAAGTACATATCACTCTGCTTCTACGTTCTCATGAGCCGCACGACATAGGCATAGGCCGACTACTAAGTGTATACTGTGGTCGCAATGGCTGCGTTTTTTTTTCCTCGGCCAACTTTGTGCTTGAGAATATCGCAAGTTATATTAGAAGTAAAAGAGGAGTTTGAGTTGCACTGATGAGAAGAGAGTGAGATCTATATCAGCCTCATTTTCACTTCAGCACAAACCAACGCACATGCGGACTTTAGAGTCAATTGCCCATAACGGCTGCCTTAAAATTAATATATGGATATAACATATCATAATCATCATCATCATTATCGTCATCATCATCATCATTATCATCATCATCATCATCAGCAGCAGCAGCCTGACTACGTCCACTGCAGGACAAAGGCCTCTCCCATGTTCCGTCAGTCAACTTGGTCCTGTGCTTGCTGCTGCCAATTTATACCGGCAAACTTCTTAATCTCATCTGCTCACCTGTTCTGTCTCCCCCTAACCCGCTTGCCTTCTCTGAGAACCCAGTTAATTACCCTTCATCTAACATATAGGTATCATTAATTTTCAAGATTTGTGGGAAAGCCTTACAGCATATCGAAAAAAAAGGTATATCTTTAGCCATCTTTTTTTTTTGTATTTCCATACCGGTTTTTATACGTAATATTGGGGCGTTACTAGGTGTCCCGACTTGTACGCTCACCCACCCATCTGCATGCAAATTCGATAGGTTTATGTTTGTGAATAAATAGCAACCTTATATTCTCGTTGGAAGAGCGCATAGTATTTTACAAGAAACATCGGTTGTCAGAAGTTTAACGCGCGAGCTATAGTGAATATGGAACAATCGATGATCAATTACTTTTTTCTTTCCTTTCAGGGCGTAGTGCTGGGCATTTTTCTTCTGTCGTGCAGATTGGAAACAAGACAGCGATGTAGATCCAGGAAATTGTTCGTGAAATTTCGAACAGCCTCCACGGGTACCGCCTGGTGCTCGAGATCAATGGCGAGAACAGATGAAGACACTGCGTTATGCTTTGGACGGATATTTCACAAGAACCAATTTCACTAATGCTAGTACGTTAACACTAGCAAAGTCTGTTTGGATCGAATAATGCACCGTGATTTGGTTACATACCTCATCGAGACTGACATTTCATACACTGCTCATTCTACGGTTGCCTCACTTTACCATGTTAATATTTGACGCAGCTAAATGTACGGCATGCGAACGAACCGTTTAATGCCATGTTGTTCTTTGCGCTCGTGTAGAGAAAACAAAAGCGCGTGCTTTAATTATGTGTTAATTTGGCCATGTACACTCTAAGCATGGCAACCTTTGATTGCGATAGCAATTATATGTGCATTCTTCGTTAATTTTTGTCGTCGCCGTCATGCCCTGGATATATATATATATATATATATATATATCTTATACATATATATTCCCAGATCCACAGAGCACTGCGTTATACCATTACATTACGCACCATGCATGCACCAGCGTAATAAAGGTAAACTATTTATGGATACAATTTACCGCTGGCAGTATGCAGACCTCGGAGTAACTTGAGCGTGTTTCCTATCACGCAACACGTCTACGTTTTCTGCCAATTTTAAAACTGGACGTGCACAATAAGGTAGCCCGTTTCTGTACCCTCTGGTGATGTGGAACGAAACAAACAAACAAAAAACACTACGCACGCCGCGCACATCTGTAAGCACTTCGAAAGAAGAAATATCTAAGATCGTCTGACACTTGCAGCAAGTTCTTCAAACACGGAGGCGCAACGAGTGTGACAGTTGTTAGTTCATGCGCGTCCTGTATATGTATACCTGCGCGTCCTTTTCGAGCGCCCTTCTTTGGGCTTCGGCGGGAAGCTGAAAGAATTGAGCAGCTCGTCGACCTTCGCGTGACATTTAAATTCCTTGCTATCGCATTCATTGCTTCGCCATTGCGGCATAACTCTGCCCTTTTTTTTATTAGGCACAGGCATTTACGCGTTTTTTATACACACAGAGCGTGATGTAGCAGTTGGCTTTAATTTAAGCATGGGCTATATAACCATGGTTGCCTTTTATATTTCTTTTTATATGGAATTGAAAGGGCTATGAACGTACGTCCGGCGTCTTATGTACTGGACACACGACGCTATTTAAAACCTTATTTGCACATATATTTGGATCCCATATACTTTGCGTACTTCTAATTTATGGGGGAATCAACCCAGTAAACTACAGTTATCACGCCTGAGCTACTCGAGGCACATCTTAATTTAAGGTAAATTGTGCTCGCTACCTAGAAAAGTGTGAACCTCGAAGCAACTTGGCTCGCTGTATGTTCCACGAGCCGCTTTTGGCAAAAATGTAAAGTGGTGGTAGCCAGCGTCTCTCGTTGTGAAACTCTGTGTTAATGGCCATGTCTGCAACGTAACGAGAGTTCGAAAAAAAAAAGAAAGCGAATTGCGTAACGATGATTCTAAAGTTGTAGCTGTTCATTGTATGAAATGACGGATATTGGTCGGAAGCGCCTTCTTACAACCTTTTTTTTTTTAAAGGTTACCGCGTTTGAAGTGCTCAAACGCCAGTGTATAAGTCTAACGTGCACATGTAACATGAGTGCATGCTTCATCCAGAACTCGTGGTGCAGGTTGAATTCGGCTTCGTTTTGCGCAGTTGGTGAGCGCAATGGCCTCACCTTAAACTCTCCGTCGCCCGGGCAGAAAAATAACGTAAAATAAAAGTGGTGACTAGCCTCCTCCTACGTGCAGCAATAAAACGTGTCAGCTAGCTCCGCCTTGCCTACCTACGACCTCCACTACACCCAGTTAATGGGTCGCGAGGGGCCGTCCGACACCGTGAGAATTGTATGTATGTACTGTATAAATGTTACGTCATCCATTTCATCAGGAAGTTTGCATAGTTCCACGAAGCAGCCGTGCAGCAGGTGACCAATAAGCAACATATCGACTAAGTGGGTATGGCTGAGAGGATTAATCTGGCAAATAAATACTCCGAAATGAAGATGAAGCCATTTCTCTTGTACAAACTATGTCATCGTGTGGCTGCGGCAAAAGTAAGATTACCATCACACCACCTCGCACGCGAAATTTTCGGTGTCACCGCGACATCATCTGACATATCACCACTGCCCCCTTCCCAATTTATTTGTGCACGTATACATTCAAATTCAACTTCGCGTTCCAAATTACTTTCTATACTAACCCAAACATCGTCGTTCCAACGTTAACTTTATCATTGAAGTCTCACCTTTTATATTAAGCTTCATGTGTCACTGACTTTTGACGCTTTACTTCAAAGCAACCTCGTTAATTTTGTGTGCCCATTCTTATGTGACATTTTAAGTGAATTTATTGAGTGCTATAAGCGGATTATGGAAATATTGTCAAATGAGTCGTATATGATTTGTCATGGATGTCATAAATAAAAAGAAATTAGACAATGTGGAAAACAGGCCTTGTGTTTTCGTTGGAATGTTTTCAATCTTGCGTAACGCTAGGCTCAGCGCGACGTGTACACAGAGGTTCCAATGAATTTGTACTCTTGTTGATTGGCCTGTTTTCCTGTCTGTACTGTGCATTTCCTGTTCGTCTTGTACCGCGATGTTCAAACCTATACGAGCCCAATATACAAACGTAACGCCTACACGATGTGTTTAATCATTTCTGTACATCCGCTTCAGCTGACCCGAAAAATCAAGGCGCGTTAAAAAAGCTGATCCATGGAAATGTTCAGCTAGAAAAAAAATACATTCTTAATTCGAGAAATTGGGATAACGACGTTCTTATTTGATTTCAGACGCCGTGTGAAGGAATTACAATACGCACACTGTGAAATAAGGGTTTGGACCGCGTTCGCCTACGGGTTATGTGGCGGATGACTTGACCTCGTCAAACAGCTGTACCAGCACTCAACAGTTCACTCGTTCTGTCGTTTGCACACCCCTTAGCCCGCCCGACAGTGGTTGCTCACAAAATACGTGGCACATGTTGTACTTCGTTTCCGCCTTGATACAAAATAAATGGAAGCTTAGAGTGGTAGGAATTAAAATTAGTAAGTAGTCGTCATTAAGAACGTAAAGCGTCGAAGCAACGATAAAGAAGCAGACAGGCAAGGACAGACATGCTTTCATATTAATCAAGATATTGGCGAAGTGAATTGGGGAAAAGGAGAGAGAGGTTCAAACTCTCACTCTCCAAAAATTTCCAATTTTACATGTGCACATAAATGCACACACATACACACGCAGTACGAACACAAACATGCATAAAGAGTGGTTGATTCACCCCCCCCCCTCCACTCTCCTTTTTTTGAGCTCAGAAACATTTCTGGCTATTCCCCTTGAATCGAAGATCGATTCAGCGAAGAATGTCCTTCATCGGAGGTTAGCCGTCTAGTATAGTGTACAGTTGTCGTGGTTGTACATGTGAACGAACGTTCGAGAATGAGCAGCAGTTTCATACGCAACAACGACGAAACGTGCCCAGTGATCGAGGCTTGGCTTGTATTAACAGCAGTGAAAGCGAGTGCGTGATCCTGCTTTAAATTTACTTAAATAAAAAAATAAATGGAACGGATGAACAGCTCTCTCTTGCATAGACCGTCCACGTGTACGCCCGACTTGTGCAGGTAAGTTTTGTGTCAACTTTCCTTTCCGGTACAGTGCGTCCTCTCAGTGGATCATCATCATCATCGTCGTCGTCATCATCATCATCATCATCATCATCATCATCATCATCATCATCAACAACCTGACTGCGCCCACTGCAGGACAAAGGCCTCTCCCATGTTCCGCCAGATAACCCGGTCCTGTGCTTGCTGCTGCCAATTTATACCCGCAAACTTCTTAATCTCATCTGCCCACCTAACCTTCTGTCTGCCCCTAACCCGCTTGCCTTCTCTGGGAACCCAGTTAGTTACCTTTAACGACCAGCGGTTATCCAGTCTACGCGCTACATGCCCGGCCCATGTCCATTTCCTCTTCTTGATTTCAGCTATGATATCCTTAACCCCCGTTTGTTCCCTAATCCCCTCTGCTCTCTTCTTATCCCGTTTTCTAGCGTTTTTGTGCGGACGAGTCGCTTTATTTCACGACTAACAACATAGTACACAAAACCCGTTTTGAGAAGCGATGGAAAGAATTTACGAGAGATAACATCGGATTCTTGACGTAGCGAAATAAAATCAAATTATATCACGTTTTATTCGTCCATCTTGTGTACCGTCCCGAGGAGCTCTGGTTCGTCTTCGAAGTGAACGACGGGGGCTCTGCCACCCCTGTGGAAACCCCCTTCGAGCTCGATAAGTACCAGCACGTTCTTCTTCCTGAACAAGGTGCGTGGCACGTACAGAGTCTTCTGGGGTCCCCTCGCCGGCCAGTAGCGACCCAGGTTGAAACCGTTCAGAAACGCGATGCCCTGCGCGAAGAAGAGGCAAGCCGAATCATAGCACGACAGTTTACAGATTTTGAATACGCGCACCAGTTCAGAGCAGCTGGCGTTGGTGCTCCCAAAGCAGCTAGCTTAGACAGCACCGATATTACTGCTAATACTTTGTAGGACCGGGTCGGCTTCTCGCAAGATTACGAGACCAGGTGTCAGTGCGCGTTAAAAAACATCATATGGTCAAAATTTTCGGAGCCCTCCACTACGGCGTCTCTCATAATCATAAGTTTTCGGGACTTGAGATTATTATTATTAAGGTTGCGACACGAACCAGGCAGTGGCATAGGCAGAAACTTGCTTCGGGGGGCGCACTTCTTTGATCTGAATTGAAGGTACGTGCTGGTTTAGTGTCATTTTGTGTTCTCTGTGCCACGGCAGAAAGAATTTATTATTATTATTATTATTATTATTATTATTATTATTATTATTATTATTATTATTATTATTATTATTATTATTATTATTATTATTCACTACTTGTCTGTTGAGAATCTTCTGCTCAGCTATCTGCTTAATAGATCATATGTTGCCGTAAATGGTCAAAAGTGTTCCTTATACAAAGTGACCACAATAGTGGAGTCCCTCAAGGGTCGGTATTAGACTCGGCTCTCATTTTATATTTACGTTAACGATGTTTCTTCTGCGATTTGTTATTCTTTTTTTCGCACTTGTATGCTGATTACATCAAGGTATTCAAGAAAACTCGTTCAGTTAACGACTGTCGCTTGCTGCAGTCAGATTTGTGTTCTTTCTCCGAATGGCGTGA